AGAATTCAAAATATGTTATCTGGCTCCACAGCTGACTCACATAACCACTCTACTGTAGTGTCTCCCATAAAACATGACTAGCATTGAATCTACCCTCTCATAAAACAAAGCCCAAGCTTAGACTATGACACATTCCTTCCTCATGAAAAACAGGGAGAGGAGTAGGGCATAGAAGAGGTCATGGAGTCAAAATTACCTCCTTTCTATAAATCAGTTTATAGTAAATGCAATAATGTGATAAGCCTTCCCTATCTTACCCCATCTGACAGCCTATGCCTTCAGTTGTGTCATCGTAGAGAGAGACAACCTGCTGAGTCATCTATACCACTTTCTGCGTCATGAAGTTTGGAAGAATGATCTGACTACAGGGTCATAGCTGCTTATCTTAGGAGACTTGACAAGGTCACAGCTTGAAAATGTTATGACTGTGTTATCATTAGAGATTAAGAGAAGATTTATTCAATTTATTAATTTAATAATAGTTTGTCTTGTGTCTGGTGTAAGTAACCATATGATTATCTCATGTTATTTTAAAACAAGCTTAATTAAATATGTTTCTTTTTTTAGTGTCTTATATTTATGCTTGCTGATAAAGATAACCCAAAGGCTATGCATACAAATGTAAACAAGATGTCACAAAATACTTTTAAGGGCATCTTTGTTTCATGTCTATATACGACATATTGGAAATGACTATATGATCACATTTCTGAATGCAAATGCCTCTATATCTGAAAATATGATCTAATTTATATGGCCTTATTTGTAACATCTATTTTTCTGTAGTTTATATAAAAGCCACTTTTAGAATTTATTCAAACAGACTTGTTACTGGTCCACCCGTCTTATTATTGCACCACCTTTTTCTCAACTTTTCAGTGTCTTTTTACTGAGACTATTTTAGTTTTGGACATAAAATCTAACACTTTTAAAATAATTTAAATCACATTTAGAAACAAGTTTATATTCATGATACCACATGGAAATAAATATTCTGCCTTAATTTTTAATTGGTAATCTATATTGGTTACTGGCTAGACATCTCATTTTTTCATTCATAGATTAGAAAAGTGGACAGACACAATTGATGAAATCATCCAGTGGTTCAAGGAAACATATATACATAAGTATAAATAGAAAGATAGATACCGATAATAAAATAACACAACTTGATGAAATTATGTACATGTAGATACATAATTCAAAATAGGTCAGCACAGATATCTATATCAATTCAAACAAGTTATGTGGCATTATTACACTTCAGTTGAAATCCCACATTTTCTCCACTTCAAGTAATTTGATTACAAAATACCTTCCACTTGTTGGATATTTCAATTTCTTTTCTTTCTTTTTTTTTTTTTTAGTTCTTTTTACTTATCAATAAGTCAATCCCAAGTTTTGATAAACGATTTACTGCTTACCTAGAACAGTGTGATGGTGCCAAAGAAATAGAAAACATGTAAACTTTTGAGGAGTTTACAATCTGATTGGGAAAACAAAACTTAAATATATTAAGTAATTAGAGAACAGCATGAGACAATGCCCCCTGAAGCCATTCATATAAGACCCCATCCAATGCAGGCCAATCTAGTGTAGGGAGACAGGCTAGTCTAATACAAAGCAAAAACCAGTAATAAACATAGTAATATCTTAGTAAGGACTGACAAGATGTTCACACGTTCACACTCACATACACGGTGGCCCTCAGAGGTAATAGAAGTACCTAATTGAGATCCCAGCACTGAAAAAACTATGCAGACATCTGACATTTTTATCACATGCCATTGCAGCTACTCTTTCAACAATAAATGCACTATTCATTAAGTTACATATAAGCAACCGGATGCCAAGGAAGTTTCAAAATTGCGAGTTCATATACAAAACTGTACATCTGTCAACATATCTTGCCTTTGGACTGGAAGTTGTTTGTACATCTTTAAGTAAAGGGCTTAGAGAAATTTGAAAGCATAGCAGAAAAGAAATGTGTTTCAGGTATAATATTCTAGATGAAGTTAACCTAATTTATTTATTAATACAAGATAGTAATCTGACCACCCCCTACAGACATTAATATATTTAAATGTTACATATTTATATTAACAAAAAGTGGAAATTTATGTGGATGTTATTTCTACCAAAAATATAAAAGCTTGTGAATACATATTACTGTGTCTCACAAGTATTGGTTAAAAGAAATGTGTAAAAACTATGTCCCAGAGATGATATATTTGCCTTTAAATATTATATGGACAGTGTTGTACATAATTTGCATTCAGTACTTATTTATTTATGAATTCTGGTTACCTTTAAGAAGTGCAGAAGACACAAAGCATGTAAAATTTCAAGAATAGGGGCAGTTTACATTATTTTTAAGAGAAGGAAACAAAAAAGTGTTTGTTGAATAGAGTAGTCTTAAGTCACGAAAGCATTAGAGTCACAGAGGGATTTACATCTTGACTTTATTGCTTACTAGCTGTGTGAAAACTAGGGAGTCACTACCTTTTCTGAGCCTCAATTTCCCTCATTTTAAAACATGGCAATAAAAATAGAACCTACGTTATAGAGTTATTGTGAGGCTAAATGTACACAAAGCATTTAGCATTTGAAGCATTTAGCACAACCCTTCAGCCAGAACATGAATAGGTTTTCAATAAATAGTAGCTTTTATAAGCATTATTTACTTTAACAAACATGCTATACATGTGCTATGTAATAATCAGCCATAAAATAATGCAATCATATCATTTGCAGCAACATGGATGAAACTGTAGATCATTATCTTAAGTGAAATAAGCTAGGAACAAAAAGACAAATATTCCGTGTTTTCACTTATATATGGGAGCTAAAAAAAATGTGATCATATGCAGATGGAGAGTGGAAAGATAGGTAACAGAAACTGGGAATGGGAGTGGAGAGAGGAGAGGATGAAGGGAAAGGGTTAAAGAGTACAGGCATACAATAAGACTGAAGGAATAAATTCAATGTGGGATAGGAAGACAGCTTGACTATACTTAACAAAAATGTATTGTACTCTGGTGGTGGATGCCCTAAATCCTCTGACCTGATCACTAGGCATATATACATATAACAAAATTCCTGATGTACTCCACATATTTGTACAAATCAACAAAATGTTTATGTGGATATATGCATACATATATATAAAATATATAAACCATATATATACACAGACATATTTCAGTCAATTATATAACATATATATGTCAAATATTCAGTCATATATATAACATATGTTCAAATATAACATATGTTATATATGAACAACTAGTCTGATATAGCCTAAGATTTTTAGGGTATTTTATTTACCACAACAGTAAAAAATATACCATGAAGTCTTATATAATATCAAGTTTTCTAAGATAGGATGTTTTTTTAGAAAATAAGAAAGCCTTAAGATGGTTAGGTTAAAGAAATTTGTGATCAGTTATTCTCTTGTAATGTCACTTCCAGTTATGAAATCATGAGCATTTTTTTTCATTTTCAGGTTACTCACAATCCGTCACCCACACCCTCCTCTTGATACAGCACTAAACAAGGGTAGGATTATGGAGGTAGAGAAGGGGAAGATGGGCACTAGGTTGCAACAGGTGAACTGTAGTAATGTGAAGGACCAATGGTGTACTTGGAGTTTCTGGGCTTGAGATAAGGTTGTAAAGAGTAAGGAGAATGGGGAAAAACAGCAACAAGGTCGTTTCCATGATCTCTGTTCAAGGAAAGTAAATTCACCACATGACCTCTGCGCACCCGCTTAACAAACACTGTGTGTGTGTGTGTGTGTGTGTGTGTGTGTGTGTGTAGAGGAGGACTGGGACCTTTGCAGACTTGGTATCAGCCACCAGCATTTCAATACAATGTATTATTGTGGAATTGGGGACTTGCTTTAGGATTGACTGCCGTAAAGCTTTAGCGCACATATGGATCATGTGACTCCGCAGAATGCCAAACTCATGCTTTGAACATTCACTCTCACCATTTTGTCATATAGTCAGTCTGGAAAGTTCTTTATCATATGCGCTTGAGGAAATCCTGCGCATTCCTCTGAGTACTGTACCAATGTCCAAGGGAGCCCCCACACCAAAACAGGACTCTGCCAAGATTTCTACGACTGCAAGTTTCAGCTGAGCTTCCCCTCCCAGGAGAGAGAGGGAGGTACACCACTGCTGGAACTCCCCCTGCACTCAACCTGCCCTGGGCTAAGTTTGAAGGAGCTCAGTGCCTTAGAGGAAAATTCTCTTCATCCCTCACCCCCGTGTCTCCACCCCCATCATCACTGCAGCCCTCCATGCTCCTGAGGCTGCTTTGTCACCAAAGGGCTACTGATTACATCTGGGTGGAAAGCAGGGCCTAGGGTCAAGGTCTCCGTGCCACTGCCGAACCCCCCATCCACTGCCAAATTCAATGTGTAATGTAAGAGAAGGCTATCGGAAGATTACAGCAAGCGTACACTAGTTTCTCCAGACAGATCGTGGCTTGGCCTTATTCTGGCCCCGTGCTTGACTATATCTTAGGTTTCAGATTTTATGGAAGCAGGGATTTTAAGAAGAGTAGTTAGCTGTAGTCCTGAGGGTATCAAAACGCCACGTGTCTGATACTGGAGGTCCTGGGATACAGGCCTTCCGCAACTCTGTCCCTGTAGCTCTGCTACCCGCTTCTCCTCTCCGCCCCCTTCCAGCCTCCACCCTTCGCGGCCTCCGCTACCCGACAGGCACCCCACGCCCGCCCAGCAGCTCCTCCCACTGCCTCCGCCCTTCACACTAGGGCCCCCGCGGAGTCTCCCCCCACACTGACTTCGCTCTCGCAGCCAGCCAGACAGCCACTCTTCCCGCTCTCGCCTAGGTCTGCACCGCCACCGCCACCTCCGCCGCGCTTTGCCAGCGCTCTGCTCCCTCAGGCCGCGCATCTGTGACCAGGTCCGCCGCTGCCGCCGCCACCACCGCCGAGCCTCCGACTCTGAAGTCTCGGCGCCCGCGATCGCACCAGCTTCTTGGCCTTAGAGACCCCTCGCTCTGGGTTGACGCGGAAGCGCAGCAATCCCCGCCACCGCCACCATGGCCAACACTGGAGCCACGCGCCGCCACCGCCGCCGCGCCGCCGCCGCCGCTGCCGCCGCCGCAGCCGCCGCGGCAGATCACCCGCCGCCCACCACGGCCCAGCAGCAAACAGGTAGCAGGAAACGGAAAGCGCCGGCTATAGAGGCCGGCGCCGGGAGCTCCTCTTCGCAGGGCTTGGCGGCGGCGGACGGAGAGGGGCCGCTACTACCTAAGAAGCAGAGGCGGCCGGCGACGCGTCGCTGGCTGGTGCACTATCTGAAGGGCCGGGAGGTAGGCGCCCGGGGATCCGCGGGGCTCCAGGGCTTCGAGAGCGAGCTGCGGGGCTACGCGGTACAGAGGCTGCCCGAGCTGCTGACGGAGCGCCAGCTAGACCTGGGCACCCTCAACAAGGTGTTCGCGTCTCAGTGGCTGAACTCCAGGCAGGTGGTGTGCGGCACCAAGTGTAACACGCTTTTCGTGGTGGACGTGCAGTCCGGCCACATCACACGCATCCCCCTCATGCCGGACAAGGATGCCTGCCTGGCCCAGGCCCATCACGGCTGCGGCATACATGCCATCGAGCTGAATCCCTCCAAGACGCTTCTAGCCACTGGCGGCGAAAACCCCAACAGCCTGGCCGTCTACCGCCTGCCCACCCTGGATCCCCTGTGCCTGGGCGACCGCCACGGCCACAAGGACTGGATCTTTGCCATCGCCTGGCTGAGTGACACCGTGGCTGTGAGCGGCTCCCGCGACGGCACCGTGGCGCTGTGGCAGATGGACCCTGACATGTTCCACGGCAGCATTGCCTGGCACAGTGAGGTGGGTCTCCCCGTATATGCCCACATTCGTCCGAGGGATGTGCACAGCATCCCCAGGTCCACCACCAACCCGAGCAACCGCAAAGTGCGGGCCCTGGCTTTCAGCGGCAAGAACCAGGAGCTGGGAGCCGTGTCCTTGGATGGCTACTTCCACCTGTGGAAAGCCCGGAGCACACTATCCAGGCTGCTGTCCATCAGGCTGCCCTACTGCCGAGAGAATGTGTGCCTGACCTACTGCGATGAATTGTCCCTGTACGCCGTGGGCTCTCAGTCCCACGTCTCCTTCCTGGATCCACGCCAGCGACAGCACAACATCCGGCCCCTGTGCTCTCGAGAGGGTGGCACGGGTGTGCGGTCCCTGAGCTTCTACCGCCACCTCATCACTGTGGGCACCGGCCATGGCTCCCTGCTCTTCTATGACATCCGCGCCCAGAAGTTCCTGGAGGAGAGAGCCTCCGCAAGCCTCGACTCCACTCCGGAACCTGCAGGGAGGAAGCTCAAGCTTGACTGTGGCAGAGGCTGGCTCAACCAGGATGACGTCTGGATGAACTACTTTGGTGGCATGGAAGAGTTCCCAAACGCCCTCTACACCCACTGCTACAACTGGCCCGAGATGAAGCTCTTTGTGGCTGGGGGACCTCTCCCTTCAGGCCTCCACGGGAACTACGCAGGCCTCTGGAGCTAAGGATGGACGCCTTGTTCTCAAAGTGCACAGGTTTACCTTTTGGTTCTGCCTCAATTTCCTTCTTCATGCTGCATTTGTGCTTTTAATTTTGTGTGGCTTTTGTCTTCCAGGTGGAACCAGTCCAACTTACGTGTGCCTCGTGTATTAGGCTGAGAAAGAAAGAGAAAGAGAGAACTGGAACAATCCAGTGAGTGTAAGAGAGCACAAGTGGTCCTTTGGACAGTCAAAACTTTGGCTTTAAAACTCTCATTCACGTTTCCCAACAGCAGTATATTTTTGCCTTCTCATTCAAAGAGTTTTCACTGAACCTTAATTGTGTTCTGTCTTTCACAGATTCACATAGCCTCCTTCTTTAGGCTGATGCAGTCATAGTCTTCAGTACTATTCAGTGCGTTAGTTTGATTAATATTGCAATAGTATTCAGATCTTGTACACGTTAGATGTATGGTGTTTTGGGGAAATGTGTGCTACAAAGCATCTTTGGGGCTGTTCTGAGGAACTACCCATCATTTATAGCCTTACTCTAATTAGAAAATACAGTTCAGGTTCTAGATTGCCACCATTCTAGAGTGTGGCACACACCATTTTAGGGTGTGATTCATTTGTATGTTGGAAACTCAATATCTGTTGCTTGTATATTGTTGATGTGTAAAATTCTTTAAAAATATGTTCTTTTAGTCAGAAATCTTACAATTTTGTTCATACTATTAATCAACAATTTTGGTTATTCAGTAAAACTTTAACATCACTATCCTCAGGCCCTCAGTATTCTTGTTTAAACATGGTGTATTGTGGTCTGCTTTTCTATGCTACAGATTTTCAGAAATAATCAATATTGATCTATATATGTAGTAGGGCAATCAGGGAGGTATGGGGCGGGATACGGGGGAACTCTTTAAATTCAGGTAGCTATTTACAGTGAAAAGCCAGTTGTGGCAGTTGTGCTGAGAGTAGGTGTTGTTGATTTTTTATTACTGTATACATGGATAATTCTGGATCCAGTATGTGATGTATTGCAGAAAAATAAATAAAATATATTCAGCATCTTAGCAATTAAGTGGGAGACTTAAGTTCTTAATGCTTAAATATTTGCTTCATTTTCTATTTGTCTTTCTGGGAACATATTTATCAAAGTCAAAACTTTCCAGGACACAGGCTGAATCTGAAGCATTAGCTATGTAAACATTATTTTGTACATCTCTTTTTGAAAATGAAACTTATGGTTATAAGTTAAAAGATTACAAAATTACATCTGGAATACATTATGAAAATATACTTAATGTAAATTAGGATGGCTAGGTGTTTTTTTAAGATGACTGAACTACCATTTTTAATTTGTACCAATACATGTATTTACAACTACTTACATATACAATATATTTGAATATCTGTTTGCATATGTTAGTTCCCATGTGAGGAGAAGGCATAGATGTACATCATTTTATATGTGCAGCTATTTCTCATATGTTTAACTACCTGTATTAAGATTTACCACTTGGTCTTTATTTGTGTTTTGTTTTTATGTCAATTTAGAATCATTTTAATACAAGCACATAATAAAAAAAAATACTGTATAAAAAGTATACAGTTAAAAGTAAATCTCACACCCCAGGGTCACTAGTTTATTGCCCATAGATTAGCACCAGTATATTTTTTGTGAATACACATTTAGATTTAGTCTCTCTCTCTCTCTCTCTCTCTCTCTCTATATATATATATATATATATATATATATATATATGAACATATGTGTGTTTGCAATTTTATACAAACATTAATGTACTGTACATATCTGTGCCTTTTTAATCACAAGATCTCAGAGATTTTTTTTTTTTTCTTATACGTATCTACTTAATTTTACTGCATACTGTTCTATTGTGTGATTGGAATACACTTGATTTCTTCATTACACCTTCGATGATCATTTATGTTGGTTCTGGATTTCTGTTACTGTAAACTCTTCTGTGGTGATTACTTAAGTGTATACATCTTTGTGTACAAGTGTAAATATATCTGCAGGATAATTCCTAGAAATGGAATTGCTGGGTCAATTAGTAAGTTCATTTTGTATTAATAGCCATCGCTCAACCACCTTCCTAAGAGTTTCCACCACCTTAACCTCCTACAACTAATGGATGCACATGTGCTTTACCACACCCCTGCCAACAGTGTGTCACCAAACTCTGTGCTCTTTGCCAATCTTATATCTACTTCATCTTGGTCCTTTTTTTTCTTTTTTTTTTTTTCTTTTTGAGACGGAGTTTCGCTCTTGTTACCCAGGCTGGAGTGCAATGGCGCGATCTCGGCTCACCGCAACCTCCGCCTCCTGGGTTCAGGCAATTCTCCTGCCTCAGCCTCCTGAGTAGCTGGGATTACAGGCACGCGCCACTATGCCCAGCTAAGTTTTTGTATTTTTAGTAGAGACGGGGTTTCACCATGTTGACCAGGTTGGTCTCGATCTCTTGACCTCGTGATCCACCCGCCTCGGCCTCCCAAAGTGCTGGGATTACAGGCTTGAGCCACCGCGCCCGGCCCGGTCCTTTTTTTTCTAAGCCACTGTGGCTGATTTAATTTGATTTGTTGTCAGAGTACCAAGTAAGTTCTGAAACAAAGAACAAGAAAATGAGAAAATAAGGGCAAGCAATAGAAATGCTGCCACACTAAAGGAAGAGAGTACCCACAGTTCAGACTCGTGTATCTGGAGATGGATTACACACAGCTACTTTCCTTGGATACTTAGCTGGAATTAGTAGGTTTTCCTGGTCTATTACACTCTGGTTTAAGTTATATCAAAAGTACAAGATGTCATTGAAGAAAATCCAAGAAGGAGACCATGAAAGTCTAAACTAGGATAGTGGGGTATGGAAAGGGATAAAGTTATTCAAAACTATGAGGGAAAATAAAATGAAGACACAGTATTTCACGTGAAAGATGAGGAAAACCAAAAAAATTTAGGTGGACTCTCAGGCTCCGACTTGAATATGAATGGTGACAATAAATAAAAATAAAGAAAATAAGTTTAGATAGTATGAGGGAGAATTATCAGTTTAATTTGGGACTTATTGAATTGGAGGTACCTCTGTGACATCAGGAGAACATAACCAGGGAAGATTTGGCTGTGTATCCCAGGATGAAATTTCTCACTTCTGGGAAGGTGAGTGCTATGAAACACTATGAATCTTGTCCTTTCAGAGGAAAGTAGAACAGAAAATATATGAAGGATCTTTAAAACAATAAAAAGAGACAAAGCCTGGCTCAGTTGCTCAAGCCTGTAATCTTAGCACTTTGGGAGACTAAGGTAGGCAGATTGCTTGAACCCAGGAGTTCCAGAGCAGCCTGGGCAAAATGGGGAAACACCATCTCTACAGCAAATATGAAAATTAGTTGAGGTGGTGGCATGCTCCTGTAGGCCTAGCTTCTCAGGAAGCTGAAGTGGGAGGATCACTTGAGCCCAGGAGGTCCAAGTTACAGTGAGGGGATATCATGCCACTGTACTCCTCCAGCCTGGGCAACAGAGCGAGAACCCTTTCTCACTAAGCAAAAAAACAAACAAACATGTAAATAAATAAATGGAAATTAAGAAAAAAGCTGGATGGGAAAGAAAATGGTATAGGATGATAGAAACTTATTCTACACAAATGCTGTGACCTTAGCATGAGACAACAATCCATTTTTTAATACGAAAATTATAAAGATTTTGAGTCTCCACCTAAAAGCCATAAAGGGCAGCTTTTCTCACAGATAATCTTCCTAAGTATTTACCTAGGACTCCTTAAGATTGTTCAAATTGGTCCACTAATTAGGCTTTTGAATTGCTCAACTGCCGTCTCTTCTTGGAGAATGAAAAGTCAGACCTCGCTCACAAAGCAGGTTTCCAGAGTTAGTCATTTCTGGACCACTTATTCTCCTACTCTGAGATGTACCCAGTATTCCCAACACCCAGCTAGCACCAGCATTCCTGACAGCCTCACAGCAGTGGAATATCACCTCATCACCAGCTGCTGCTAGCTCTTGCTTAAGTTCTCACCTCAATGCCACAAGTGTAGGTCTCTGCCAACTTTCCCTGTCTTGCAAAAAGCAAAGGAGATGTCCAGAGGAGGATACTCCTTTGCTTAGCATTATAATAAATAGCACAAATGCAGATTACTAGAAGTGAGACAGAAGAAATAATTGCAGGCACTGATTTCTTTATTAGACAGGTAAATGTAAAATATGAGTGAAAAAATCATCAGAAAATAAAAATAACTAAACTTTTCAATAAGAAATAAGGAACCAGACCAGACTATTAACTCTAGAAATGGGACTATTAATTTTTTAAGGTCTATATTTTCATGCAATAATATCACATACATAAACAGATAATAGACACACAGATTTGATGGTTTCATATGTAAAATATTTCATATTGTCAAGGAATATCCACCTTTGAGGTGCTTCACAGCATAAAGAGAAAATAATTTATTCTTTTTTAATAGTAGGCCAGCAAAATATTAGCAAATTTGAGTAAAATCGCAGAAAATAAAAAGGGACTGATTTGACATGTAAATCGATACCATTTATCCTTTAAAAATGAATGTAATCCATTAGTTTACCAAATCCATTAGTTGGAAACATTAGTTCATCAAATCCATTAGTTCACCAAATACTATGGCAACATAAAGCTAGTTCCTTGAATTTAAGGAGTCTTCAGTATTGAAAAATCTAGTATTGCAATGTATTATAGTAAGTCAAATGAGAAGACTCACATGCTCATATCACTAAATTATAATAAATGATTTAACCAAACTCTACTATTGTTTTGGTAAAATTCTTAGTAAACTATATGAAAAAATATTCTTCATATGGTAAGTGTGTGTATGTGTGTGCTCGTGTGTATGTGTGTTTTGTGTTTTAAACTTCAACCAAAATCTTCAACATTGAAGAAACTCCTGTGAAGGTAAGAAACAAAATAAGAACTCCTAAAATCACCACCAGTATTTAGTGTTGTTACACATTTCCAGATTCAGCAATTAGAAAATATAGAAAATATTAGACATAAATACTGGAAAAGGGCTATATTTATTTGAAGGTGATATATGACTGTAAGAATGATAAATTCTAGAAGAAGCAACTAAAAAAAAAAGGTTAGGAACGATAAAATAGTAGTAAAATGTTCAGTTTGAGG